CGGGGGCCCCTGCTGCACCAGCTGCTTCTGCGGCGCCGCGGCGGCCGCCACATCGCTGCTGCACTCGCGGGCCGTGCTGCGTCCTGCGGCCGGCCCCTGCATGAGAGGCCGGGCGGGCAGCAGCGAGGGCGCGCGCGGCCCAGTTGCGCGGCGCCCCAGACCTGACCCCGTTCCCTGATAATGAGAGTTGGATTGAGGTGCCATAGCGCCATGGCGTGCGGCGCGACAGAGAGAGAGGGGAGGAGGGAGGGGGGGTGCAGGGCTTGGTCCACTTTAGAAGGAGCGGGGTTGCCTGACCCCGACGCACCGCCAGCAGCGACAAAGTTAGTTTTTCTGCACCGGATCCGGAACTGGCGAATCTCGTCGTGCGGTACGGCCTTCCGGGTTTGTTCGGAGCTCAGGGATGGAAGTGAGTGATAAAGAGATGGTGGGGCGGGGGAAGGGGGGCTGGGCGAAGAGGGAGGGGGCAGCGACCTGCCGCCGTCGAGGCCAAGCCAAGCCGCCCCGACGAGTTTCTTTTGAATAATGCATACCTACACCTACCCCACCTGGCCTGGCCGGCCGGTTGTTTGAGGCGGTAGAAGGCGCGTTTCGCGGAGGGGTGAGGTTTCGTTACCATACACACGCGCACACAGATAACCCCTCGGCGTGTCGTGTGCCTTTTAGGCCGCCGTCGCAGTAAATGTGCGGGGCCAGAGTGCTGCGGGCGGCCAGTAACCGAACTGTTTCGTCTTTTCACGCACGCATGGCTTTACCTGTCCCTCATCACCCTTTATAAATGCGGAGGGTGTTTCGGAGCGGGCCAATCTTCCTCTCTATACAGGAGAGGGTTAACAAGGCCTTGAGCAAACTCACGTGAACCCTCGCCTCTCCAGCAGAGGGCCCCGCCCCGCTCCGGCCCCCCACCTCACCCCCCACACACCGCCCCCTACCGCCGCACCACCCCCTCGCGGCTTGCTTCGGCCGGGCGGGGCGCCGCGCCGCGCCGGTCACCCAGTTGACCACCGGCGGCTGAGGCCGCTCCGCTGCCGCTGCCGGCGCCCCGTCAGACCCATCGGGCGCCGCGGCCACCCGCGAGCGCCGCGCCCCCCGGCCGACCGGAGCCACCGCGAGACGTAAGATGCACAGTAGAGAGAGAGAGAGAGAGAGCATGTGTGACCCCCCGCCCCTCCTCCCCCAACTTCCGGCATAGCGCCCCCTCTTGGCAGGCGCGGCCGGCCCCGCGGCCCCCACTCCAGACCAAACGTCAGCCTCTAACGGGGGGCTAGAGTCCATGTGCTTTGCGTCCCTCATTTGCTTCCTTCCCCGCGGCTTGTTGCACTAATTGCTTACCCACCAGGCACTTTGTTAACCCGAGAGGGGGGGGGGGGCGTACTCCCCCCTCTCTTTGGGACCGTGCCTGCGTCCAGGACTACTAGCCGCTGTTTATCTCCTGAAGGATCAAACCACCCCGACTGCCCCCTCCTCCCCGTGACGTCACGCGCTGACCCGCGGTGGTATTCCCCTCCTCGGCGGGTAGGTACGCCGCGACCACCTCACCGGAACGCCCCCCCCCCCCTTCCTCACCTCACCCCTTTCTTCCGCGACACGCACGTCCTGTCCTGTGACCCAATAACGTCAGAACAACCATTTCGTCACGACCTTACGCGCAGAGAAAAAAAAATAATCACGCGTGCATTATTTGCACGTAACGTTGGCGTGCTCAGGAACCTGAATGCGCGGCCTGCGGGGGTGAGGTAGAGTTGTGTCCCGTGTCCGCGTCGTAAAAAATGGTGAACATCTTTCACATGTTTCCAGGGCGAATAATGGGAGGGGCGAGGGCGAGGGGGGCTCACGATCCTGGTGAGGACTTCCGGGAGGCCACACGTCACACTCCCCCCCTCCCTCTCCCTCCCCCGGTCACGCACCTGGAAAGATCTGAAACAATACTGTCCCCTTGCGCCGCCGCTGTTTACTTTTAAAGGAAGTGTGTGCTGTTATTGGGTGGTGGTGGGGTGTTTCTCATGAAAAGAATGTTCACGAATAATGCAGTCCAAAGTTTAAAGTACGGCGAGCACTGGAGTCCGGAGTCTCGTTGGTTGTGTGCTCCGCGCGGGCCGGGTAGGTAAGGAGCCAAGGAGCCGCTCGCCCTCTGGGCCGGCCGCTCCTCCCCGGCCCGGTGCACATCGACCGCCTTGGCATCATATCGATACCCCCTCCCTTGCCACTCGCAGCCCGCCGGGGAGGGGTGTGGGTGGTATGTCTGGGGGGAATGACCGCAGAAGAGACTCTTACCCCTGCGTTCCCCCGCAGTCGCTGCAGCTGAACGTCGAGGACTTCATCCCGGGCGCCGCCTGAGTGACGGCCTCCGCCGCCACCATCAGGAGCGCTCAGCACCGTGGAGGCCTGCGCCTGCGCGCCACCTCGGCCAGCGCGCGTCTCGGCTGAGGCTCCGCCAGGGGCTGCTCGTCCAAAACGGCGTCCAGGACGGCGACGGGAGCCGGGTGCGGCGGCAGGCCTGGCCGCCCCCCAGGAACACCTCTCTCGACAGGTAGGTGGGCGAGGCCGCCCTCGGCTTGGCCGAGCGCCCGCGCTACCCGCGGCTGTGTCCCTCTCTCCGCAGGCTGCTGAGGCGCTGCCGCGCCATGGGCACGGGCGGGCGCGCGCCCCGCTCCCAGGTGCCCGCCCAGCTGCGCCAGCTGCGTCAGCTGCGACGCCACTCCGTGCCCGAGGCCGTGATGCGGCGCTGCTCGCTGCGCTCTGACCAGGACGCGTCGAGCGGAGAGCTGTCCCCGGACCAGAGCGCGCGCCGCGGCCCCAGCCCCGACCACAACTACGGCGCCGCGGCAGCAGCAGGAGCCGGCCGGGAGCAGACCCACAGCACCACCGGGACCACCGCGCTCAGCACCAGGGGGTGAGGGCAGGCTCTAGGCCAGCGGCGGGGCCCGGGGGTGCGCACGAGGCCGACCAAGCTCACACTGCTTCTCTGTCCTCAGGATCCTGGTCGTCCGTAGCACATCCACGGCAACCTCCTTTCGCTCGGATTGGACGGCTAGCACCTCGTCGACGTGCAGCTCTTGCCGGCAGCGCTTCGCCATGTCCACGACGTCGTCGAGTCCAACTGGAACAACTGTCACCTCGGCGACCGGGGTAGCTGCACCGCCCACCGCAGCGTCGGCCTCGGCGTCCGCAAACGAGGAGGCCGCGGATACGGCAAGACTTTG